TTTGAGGAACTTCTAACTCCATTTTCTATAGTCTGCTTCCAAATTCTGTTGATAACATAGTTAATCTGTCTTATGAGCTAACATAGATTACAATTGCAAAAAATTGTTATTAATTTCGATCTAGGTTAGATCCAAAATTAAGCAAAATTTTTAGTTCTGTGCTTTCATAAATATTATAATTTATTTAAATAGTATTTATTTGATTCAAACCCATGTTAAGTATCTGTTAAGTGCTTAACAGACAACGCCAACTGTCATCGAGTTAGACAAAGCATGTCATTAGCATTTATTTACTCTCATTGAATTACTCTCACTCTTAGCATATAAATTATTATCTATTAGCTACTGGCTGATGAGTAGCTTGACTGATGTTGTAAATCGTGATGATAAATATCACATCACATGCATAAGTCGGGAACATTAAAGTAAAAATGCTAATAAAAACTCGTTTACTAATAAACTTATGAATAATCTTCATATGTAACTGCATCTAGCGGCAAGACAGTAATTCGATTGACAATGTAATGGTATGTACATCCATGTGCGAGAGTCATTTGAAAAGTTTCTGAATGTCGTGAAGAAAAATAAAAGTAAAGGCCCAAGTTTCTTAGGGAATATGAACTGTTATATCAATGTTAATTTCATATATACATTTACTTTACATTCTTATTTATGTAACAGTTTGTAGCATATAATTTGCCTGTTATGTTAAGTCAATGCAAACTGCTGCTGTAAGCCATTTCCGCTCAGATTTGCAGGAAACTAACTTTTAACAGATTTTAATGTTCCATTTTTCTCTCCCACTCTCTCTCCCTCTCCCTCCCTCCTTCTTCTACCTTATCTCCGTCCCTCTCTCGCTCTCCTATTTTCTCTCTATCTCTCATCTCTCTACAATACTCACCGCTCGCATGCACTTGACAATTTCCAGCTCATTGCCTGTGGGACAGTTGTTAATCTTGGCCACCTCCTCGACACTCTGCACCGGCTCCTTGTCCATGGCGTATTGAGAGAGCGCAGTGCCCGACATGGCCACCACGCCGTGGATATCGCCGGCGCTGCGGGCCGTGCGCGACATGGACAGGTACATGGCGCTGGCGGCACCTGAGCCGTGGCCAATTGCCTGCACCCGCTTGGGATCGCCGCCGAAGTGGGAGATATACTCGCTGACCCAGCGCAGCGCTGTGGCCAGATCGAACATGGCCAGGTTGCCGTCGAACTCCTTGGTGCCGTCGCCCAGGATGCCCAGCGAGCCGAGGCGGTATTGCGGCGCCACCACAATCGCCCCCTGCTGGGCCATGGGCGTGGCGTCGTACTGAGCCGCCGAGCCGAAGCGAAAGCCACCTGGATGTATCCAGACAAACACCGGCAAGCCCGTCGTCTCGTCCGGCATCTGCGGCGTATACACATTCAACAGCAGGCAATCCTCCTCGCCGACGATGCGCTGCGGCTGCTGCGGATGCGGCTGGATGCACGGCGGGCCATGCCTGGTGGCATTGATATCCCCGCTGAGCCGCTTGTAGACGGGCCGCGCGTAGCGTAGCTGCCCCACCGGCGGCTCCGCATAGTGCAGGCCCAGGAAGCTGTAGATGCCCGTTCGGGTGTTCCGGAAGCCCTCGATGCGAGTGTCGCGATTGTAGAGCCGGGCAAACACAACCGGATCATCGACGGGCGGCGCTTTGGCACTCTTGCCACCCACAATGCGCTTCACGCGACGATGCGAAACCGACTCCGACTCCGACTCCGACTCCAAGTCCGCCTCGCTCAAGGTCAATGCAGCTGCAACTGAGTGCAGCAGCAGCAGCAGCCACAAAATGTTCCGCTTCGCCAACTTTCGCATTGCGTTTCGCTCGATTGTCAACTTGGAACTGTGCGAATGCGCCGGCCGTTTCAGCTCTCCAAGCTCAGCGACTCTTGACAAGGCCGGCAACTAGCCCGGCTGGGCGATAAAATAATTATTCACTTGCTGCAATAACAACAACAACAACGAGTTGATAAAATTTCAAGAGTTGTTTCATTTTATTTTCGCGCTGTTCACGATCAGCCACTGGTCATTTAAGACTATATATAAGCATCTTTCTATATATGTGTATGTATGTGTGTGTAGATAGACTATAGAGAATTTTCATTTGGGACTCGAATCACGTTCCTCAGAAATACAAAAAATACCAAATATAAGCGGAGACACTATTTAATTGCATGATTAAGTCATAGCGAACTCTGAATGCGCTATATTAAATAAAGTGATCTATGGGTGTGGATATGGATATAAAGAATCTCTTTTGGATGGCAAAGTTATTAAGCTCATTGTACAGCTTTGAGGCGATAAGCTATCAACTATCAACTAGTACACCATATACTACTACAATAAGTTTTCTTTACTCATTACCCGTTACCATTGCCCCATGTATAAATAAATAAATTATTAATAAATAAATTATTAATTTACAGCATTAATGGTATTTAAATATTTTTTCTCATAATAAACTTAGATGATTTCTTGAAAATGTAAATTCTATAAAAAATAAAAATGTAAAAGTATAAAAGTTTAAATAAATTTATATGTATTGAACTTATTAATAAAAAAAAAAATATATTTATTATTTACTTATTTATTTATTTTTTTTTTTTTAATATTAATAAATATCTAAAATGATTTATTTTTGTTTATTGATTTAGATAAAAATGAATTAATTTGCATTTAAAACCCTATCATTGTATATTTCTATAAAAATATATAATAAAAATATTTTTAATACATATATGATAAAATATGTATATATTTTTTAATCTTTACAAAAAGTAAAATTGTATTAAAGCAATATTTAAAAATATTATTCAACACATAAATCGCATATCTCTCGCAATATTAAGTATGCTTTATAGAGTTCTATTGATTACCTAACTTGGCATCATTCAAGATGCTCATCAAATTTTCTCTCTTTACCAATCGCAGTGTTGCGACTTATTCGTCATTTCCAGCTGATTTAATATACGTTTCTGTAAAATGATAATCGCCTTTATGTATTTCATTATTTCACAGCTGACGTCTCTTATCGCACGCGATCCACAACTACGAACAAAACTGGTTCGATGGGTTTTTATTTTCTGTGGAAGAGTCGCTGTATTCCTCATTCAAGTGTTGTCGCTGCTGCTGCTGTTGTTGTTGTTGTTGTCGCTGAGAGGCAGAAAGCAAAACAAAGCAAAATAATAGGCATGAGCGAAATAATAATGCGATTTTAAAGTCTTAGCATGAGTGCGAGCACTCGTCGTAGTTTAGAGCTTTGCTGCATTATCTGCCCAGATGAGTTATATGCTCAACATATTTACGAGCAGGCACATTGCCTAAGGGAAGGCTGAGGCGTGTGGCTAGCGGAACCGGAAGCTGGCAAATGTCATGAAACAGAGTGCCTGGTTGTGATTTTAAGTTTCTTGACCCCTCCAGCCAGCCAGCCAACCAGCCAGCCAGCCAACCAGTCAGCCAGCCGACCAGTCAGCCTGCCAGCCTTCTGCCCCCTTGCTAAAGATGAAAGAGCAGCCCGGGATTAGGCCACAGCCAGACGGGGGTAACTCTGCCGCATGAATCTCAATGTTGTTGTTTAGACTGCGGCCACGTACGTCCACTGATTTGTCTCTGCAATTGCCGGTCCTTCGCCTAACAGCTATCTCTCATGTCCAACACACTCACACGCACACACACACACACACACATGGACAAAATGACATTTAAAGTTACGACAATATAATTAAGTAGACATCTGGGAGTTGCGGCAAGTGCTGGCTGAGGAATAATTATATATGTATACGTATATATGTATAGAAGGAGAATATATATATATATATATATATATATATATATATATATATATATATAATATGTGAGTGTGTGTGAGGCAGCTATCAGAGACATGCAACACTCTTGCGCTACACATGGAGAGAAATTGTGCCACGTCGCAGCCTCAGTAGTTGCCTCAGTCACGCCTACACATTTAACGAGCTTTATCTCTTTTTGATATACCCTGTAGCTGCGAAAAATGTGTTAAGGGGAGTTATGACTGACTATAGAATACTCTGTAGCTTGACGTATGTATATATTAGGTATGTATATATTAGGTATGTCAATGAGAATAGAATACTGAGTACAGCGTAAGATATATGTAGATAAAAAAATTACTAAAATTATCGTAAGCTTCAAGTAATCCAAACTGTGACTTCTAAGCGAAATACAGCTTATTGTATTTATTTTTTATTTTTTCACTCATACTAAAATTGTTTTAAATTTTAAAAATTCCATTTAAATTTGCAGAATATCATCTAGTCCACTCTCGCTTACCTTCGTCATCCACATCCTTCAGTTCGGGGTCTTTAAAAAGTTATTAATCTAGGGGTATTGAGTAAATAAATTCCTTTTAATTGAGTTTTAAATGCAGCCACTGACAATTTGCATAAAAGCTGACAGAATGCTAAAAATGTTTTTGTTATCCCTCCATTATCTAAAGTCCGGAGTCCTGAGTGCTGAGTGCTGAGTCCATGTCATATGAGCACATGCATGCGTGCATGCATATCAATCATGCAGGTTGTGAAAGCAGCTGCTAAAAGCCATAATTACATGCAAGACTGACTTTTAATTTGATTTCAGACAAGAGCAGCGAAGCGTTGAGTGGAGAAGTAAAATGAGAAAATGTATATAAAATCTGCTTTAGTTAGGGCAGCAACTAATGATACTATGGAGACTAGTATGAAGGAAAGTAGAAAGACTAGTTAAATAAAAAGAAAGTAAGGTTAGATATAGATCTTGAGTTGAGGAAAATATTAATTTAATTTAATTTAATATTTAATAATATAAAATTTCTTATGATTATCAACGTATAATGTATATAGTAAAAACTAACGCAAATAAAAAAATTCAAAAGAAATTCAAAATCGATATTCGACTATATTTAATCCTTAGAGATTTAAATCATTTGTTTTTTCTCTCCAACAGATTTCATATGATTATTTATTTTGCTTCCAACATTTAATCAAATCTTATGAACAAATCTCTCATATCTTATTCTGCGTCATTTTCGAGTATATCATGATTCGTGCTTAATATAATATTTCCTACTGACACCCTCTTAAGTACGTTCTCACTCTTATTAATTGTTTTGCTTGTTCCGTTCCATCTTTCAAAAAAGAAACCAAAAAAAAAAATTGCTTGCCTAATTTTTCTTCTTATTTCTTTACTTTTGCACACGCAACATGGTAACACGCTTTCCCAGCTTTGAAGCTGCTTTTCGTCCTTGCCGATGGCGTGTGCTGCTGTTGGTGCGTTTCTAATGTGGAAAATATTAATTATAAAATAATAATTGAATTGTGCTCGGACCAAGACCAGGTCTGGCAGCTTTGCTGAAAGGTAGATATATAACTCAGACCCATACACACACTCACACACATACACTTTCCTTTGTTTAGATATCCTTCACACGCCAAGAGTTCATTAGCGATTGCCGGGGAACGAAACAAATTGTGCGCATCTGTTGGATTTCATGAATCGAAATTAGCTGCTGCGCAGATTACGATTTAATGGAATCAACAAATATGGCTCCAGAGCAGAGCCTTCCTGATCTGATTAAAAATAGTTAATGGAAACTGGCAGGTGTGCGCCAACTAGCAGGGAAATTAATAACGAATATTATTAATGAAGCTGCATAAATTATGTAAATTGCCAATAAATATACCATATATGCTATTTGTACGGGCTACAGTTTTAAGATATATTCCTCATTATTTAACATTATTAATTTTTCTCATAGGGAATTAAAAAGGTCCCAAAATTGTGAAGATTTTTTTTTATTAAAAAAAGATAGATTTTTGAATAAATATTAAATATAAATTAGATTGAGATGAAAGCGTTTGTATAAATATTTAGGATCATCAAAATTCGTTTAGTTTCAACTAATTTATGTTGGTTCTCAAGATATGGATTAGGTATTTTAAAAGCCTACAAATTCTATAAATTTTTGGTAACTTTAAAATTTGTCGCTTCCCCAAATTCACTCGCCGCTTTAATTCATAAATCTTTTGTGATTTATGCAAAAACCAAGATAAGAATAAAATTCAATTGCAAAGGAAATAGAAAATTCTCCTGACGCACATTAAAATTTAATAAGTTTTCATAAGAAGCCCAACGATTTGGTCTGCAACCGCAATCGTTTTGCGTTAGTTTGTCGAAAACTGTGCAGAAAATTGTGTGGAAAATTGTGAGAAAACTGGCCGCAGACGAGAAGAAAGCTGCGGTTGCAATGCCTGTCAATTGCAGCAACTTGCTGCCTATGCAACTTTTGAGCTTCCAGACCGCAAAAATAATGAGTAACACAATAGGAATTGACCAGCTGATACCCTGTAAGCAGTAAAAGGGTTTGCTGAGTAAAACAAGAAAATGTGAACACCATTCGGCATATACAAATTTAACAATAAAATTATAGAGCATTAACTATTTTATTATTTATTTTATTTTATTTTATTTTAATATATATCATTTATTTGTAGCCTTTATAATTTTATAATTTTTTTTATTTGTAAAAATTGTGAATTTTTGAAAAAAAAAAATTAAATACATTTAAATAAATAAATAAATGAAATTTTTTAAATAATTTTTTTTAAATTATGAAATTGTCTTATGATATTTTGTTGATAACTCTGAGCTTTTAAAATTAAAAAAAATATATATATTTTTTAATAATATTTATTTATTCTATATACCTAAATTTATATTATTAAAATTATTGTCATTATTATTATATTATTATTATTATTATTTAAAAAAAAAATAATAATAAAAATTATTCACAATATACACCCGAAAAATAGATTTGTATATAAATACTTAAATAAATATTTCATCGAATTAAACTAGCCTCTCCTTAGCTAACCCTTACAGGGCATGTAAATGTATAGAAACAAAGCAAATTGATATGAATGCCATGTGGCAAAAGTTTTGTGGCAGCAACTACAACAACAGTAAGAAAGGCAACTCGAGTGCAACACACATGTTCAATTTTAATTAAACTAATGAAATTGTATGACCCCCATCACAAAAAACGAGATGCGAAAGTATTTGAATTTCCGTTCTTTTCTTTTTTTGGAAACATTAAAAATTAACTGGCGGAATAATCGAAACTGTTAAAACGTTAATTTAACACTTAAACAAGCTAAACCGCAGCCCAGCCTCAAACAGTGTCCCGTTCAGCTGTAACTGTAGCTGTGCGTCTGTATGCGTGTGTGTGTGTGCAGGCATTCCAATTGGCAGCTTCTGTGTGTCACATTTAATGCAAGAGCGGAATTCCATTAAACGACAACCACAGGCAGCAAGCCACCAATTCAACCCGAACATCATGCCAAAGGAAACGCATTTGTGGTGCCAAATAAACACGCACACGCACACACACAATGGCAAACACCCACACACCCACACAGCGACACTCTCGAACTGTGACTGCATTGATCCACCCAACTGCTGTACGTGGCTGCCGCAGCATATTGCAGATGTTTAAACATAAAGCCGGCTGGGGATTGGGAGTTGGGTAACACAAAGAATCACAACGACTTGCCTGACACGCCCTCACACCCACACACACACACACACACACACACATGTGTATGCATGTAATGTACATTACAGCGGCACGAGGGCAACGGCGAATGGGGGAGGGTGAACGCACATAAATTGCAATCGGAATATCAAATTGGCAGCAGGACACAAGCCAGGACGTCGCAGGACCCTCTCTCTGGCTTTGCCCTGCGCGCTTGTCGTTCCCTGATTTTATCAATTCAATAAAAACCAAATAAAATCAGTACAAATGCAAATACCATTAATGTATTGGGTTTAACTTTGTTTTTGTTTCCCTCTCGATTGTTTTTCTTTTATACTTATTTTTTATTTTTTTTTTATTTTTACTTTCCTCTTTCTTTCCGCGTGGGTTAAATTTTATGCATTTGCTTTCACTGCCCGTATTTATGTATTTCATATTTTCTTTTACATTATTTACGCCGTTGTTGGTTTCTTCCATTTTTTTTTTTTTATAGTTGACTGGGCCACATGTGAAGAGGGCTGAAAAATATTTTCGAGCAAAAAAGTGAGTAAAGTTTTTGCCATGTTTGCCGCATAAATATTTGCCACAAGCGAAACTGGCGAAGACTTTATAAAAACTTGGGAAATATTTTGAATTTACTTTTTTGCAAGAGTTTGTAGAGTTTTGAGTATGTTTTAAGAATTGTTTATTGTTTGTACACAAGCCGAACTTGTTGTAAAAATTTATGTAATTTATGAAAGAATGGAATTAATCTGAAATTAAGGCTAACTGAAGAGCTAAGCACTGAGTCCTGCGTCTTGATAATGTGGTTTATAAATTATTTTCAGTGTCTTTAATGTTTATAGTTTTTTTTTTTTTTTTTTTTTTTTTTTTTGTATTCTAGCTAATAGGAAACAGATATAAATTCTTTAGAACAGTCTTGGAAGTTTCAAGACCTAAATATTAAAGCTGAGATGTCCTATAAACATATATTATAAATACTGCAACATATATTTGTTTTATTTATAAATTTAAATATTTTCCAAGCACTAAGAATACTTTAGATTAGGTAGACTAAATGAACAATGTCTAGTACTTATACCCTTCCCAAATCAAGCATAAAACTCTTTACAAACCCTTCACAATCAACCTCAAATTGATCTCCTTTCATTTAGCGCTCAGTTCAACTGCGTAATCTCCAGCTATGCAAACCAAATGAGGGCTATTTAATGTCATTATCTCAGTGGTAACCCCCTGCTGAACCTAATTCCATATATAGCTCTATATAGATATATGCCCGGCCTCATCATTAAGGACACTGACCCATCAAATTGACGATGAACCCGAAGCGCAATTCCTTTACAACTGCCCGTATAAAGCAGCCTAATTAACTCATTAGACAATGTCACAGTGTCCCAGTTGGGTCAAAAAAAAAAAAAAAAATGTAACAGAAGAAGAAAAAGAGGATAAAGAGGCAGTAACAGCAGCAACAGCAGCAGTTGAATGTTAAATGTGCAACATTTACACACTCATTTGTTGACAAACAAATTACACGAAGGATTTGCTGCAAATTACGCGCCATTTTTCAACACTTTTCTTTCAAATCCGGGCAAACAACAGCGAAGCAAAAAATGGAAGCGAACCCAAAACGAAAAAAAAGTACCGTTAGCTACGAAAATTCGGTTCAATGTGTACATATGTCCCATGAAATTTAATTTAATCAAAGGCCAAACAGGCCAGCAGCAGCCACTGGAGGCAGGCAGCACGAATCAATCTCCAGGCGCCCAACAGGCAGATGTGCTCAAATGGTGGATGAGGAGCGCAGAGAGAGGCGTTACCAAAATGAAATTGCTTTAAGCAGCGCACAACGCATTTTGTGTCCCTTGTCCCCTGTCCCTTGTGCAGTGTCCCTTGTTCCTTGTCTCTTGTCCCTTGTCTCTCGTCCGTCGTTCATTCGTCGCTCTGCTCCCTTAGCCGTTGTCCTTATCCAATGTCCTTTTGGCCCATTGCTGATTGTCTGACCGTAACTTGTTTGCTCGCCTTTAATTTCATTTGCGCGCCTTCGCCGCTGCCAATATCCTCGCTGGTCTTTAAGGCCGGAGTTTGATTTCGACTGCATCGTTCTTTTGTTCGCCATCCTCCCACCTCGCCCCACGCCTCGCTTCCTGCTCTTCCCCTTTTTTTCTGCTCTCTTTTTTTTTCTTTTTTGATGCGCTTTAATTTACATGCTTCAACTGTTCTTGTAGCATTTAGCAATTCCGATTGTCCTGCTGCTGGGGCCAGCCCCTTTTTGAAGTGGGGGCGCGTGATTTATGCGCATATGCTAAAGAAAACCCCAATGACATTTGCTTAAAGTAAACTTGAGATTAATCTGGAGGGCAGCTGCAATGAGGAAGAGAAAGTAACTATTGTATGCACAGTTTACAAACGCTTTTAATATGACTGTTATGCAAAGCTTCCAAAAGCTTTACAGGCATATGAGCTTTTATTAAATAAACTTTTAACAAATTTTCACTACTTTTGAAATTTTTCGCTTATAATGCCGAGATGCATTTCAAAAGCCCAACAAAGCTTTTTAAAACTTGATTTTAAAGTGTTTATTTCCTTTATAAAAATTGTTTCTCACTTAATGGGATATATTTTAATAATCACTATTTAAAGACAGCTGTTCTTAAAGCTCATTAAAGCTTTATCCTTTACAAATGGCTTTTATATTACATTAGAATATATGTGTCTCTAAGCTCTGCCTTACGCCTCCCTTATATAACAAGCAAGCAAAAGCTCCTATCGCTAGGTTATGTAAAGCTCACAAAGCTTTCTGTATGCTCAATATTAAAAAAAGGGTTTCTGAGCTCTTGCTTCTATTCCTGGTTGTGCAAATATCTAAAACTTAAGTGTAATTATAGGCCAGTGTCATTGCGCCATACACTTGAAATCGAACTTTGACCCTGACAAAGGGTAGCAATCCATGTAATTTTTCTCATGGCATTCAAACGCTTCGCTGCTTGACTTGGTCGAAAGATGGAACTTTAATTTGCCACGGCTGATTGAATTAGGCGTGCTCGATAAGGACGCAGAGCGGATATGTGAGCGTATATATACATATGTGCATAGATATGCTTTAAGGACACCCAAACACACACAGACACACATACTCACAGAGATAGCGACATTAGCGATATCTGTGGGGCGACAACGAC